TGGGTTAATACGCGCGATCATCACTGTATAGCGACTGGTTAATATCAAGTGTATAGCCTCAGTTTGATCTCAAGTGTATCGCGAAAGGGTAATAATGAGGGCGCCATCGGCAGGTTATAGGTGGAACATAGGCCAGACACGTCATCGGTCACCTACAGCCACCGATAATCATCGATGGTCCACCAATAATATTTATTTAGGATGCTCCTCAGAGCGGGTTGGGGTTTCAACAGCACGTGTTCCATTGCCTGTTCTCTGATCCGGAAATTCGCTCAGCCACACAGAGCTCGCCAGCGCGCAGGCAATCAAGCTGACTTTATTGGCTTGCGAAGAACTTTCTAGGCCAGTGACGACGTTTGCATGACAAGCAGGCCCAACAATCAGGATTTGACAAGAGGAGTGCCTTGTAAATGCTACCCTCAAATGTAGGCTGACTATGTTTCTGCGTTTGTTATCTTTTAAAGAAGCATTTTTGGGGGATTTCCGTGCCTGGAAGCGTTCTATGTGTCGGGGATTAAAGCGCACATTTTAATCCCCCTTTGAGGAGCCGTAATTGCTTTTGAGGTGGCCGCTCACGTGCGAGTGGTCTGAGCTAACATGCGCTTCTTGACTTTCAGGTGCAATTAATTAGTACGAACAACCTAGATGGGGGATTAAAATAACACAATTTTCTTGTATTCTTAACATGCATGGACTCGGTTGTGAGTAAAATGCCCAATTAAAAATAGTTACAATCACGGCGCGCCTCACGTCGGCAAAAGCATCTTACACAAGGCATTTTTGTGCAACAGAAATATTTTATGCAACAGACAACCGAAGATTATGCCGGCTGAACCAATACGTCATTCCATTAATAACATGTTACGGACAGTTGAAAAAGTCTGTGGAAATTGTTATCTGAAACGGTGTGAGGTCGCCTTTGCAAGTAAATGTAATGAACCACGTGATGTTTTTCTCAAAAGATTGGGATTTGCAACATAGCTGTGTAAATAGAACGAATACTTGACAATTGTCCCGAACGACAAGAATCGGTATATTTGTTAAGAATATCGGCAGTTACAGTACATTCTGTAATGAAATTGATTACCTAAAATTTTTTATGACAAATAATGTATATTTTGAATGTTATAATTACTGTAACTCTATTGTCATACTCATAAAGCAATTGGCACAGTATCGCTGTACTCGTAAAACAACTGAACTATTACCACCACACTCGTAAAACAGAACAATTAATGTCAAACTCGTACAACTGCACGGACACTGATGGTCCGATCGAAACTTGTTCATTTTCTGGGTTTTATATGTAAAGGTTGTAGGTGAGGTCAAAGCTTTCCATTGTGCTCTCTCAAATTTTAGGGTCAGGCTTAAGGCTTTCCTGTTAATACGAAGAGTAGTTGTTATAAAGATGGTGAACATAATTTAAAGCTTTATTTATCACTCAAACTGTTAAGCAACGAATGAATTTAGAACCTCAATTAAATCTTTATTTCCCTTGAATCCGTGACCAAGAAAATCTACACTAGACAATTTAAATTTCCTCCGCAACTACACAGCGAGACAACCACCTCCTGAACGGCTACGAATGATACAATTTTCGATCGCTCCTGTCCTGCGGGCGAAGCAATCAACAAAGTTGTCTTTAAAACAAACGGTAAATTAAACCGTCTAATTGCATCAAAGCCTTTAGTTGTCTCTAAAACAAACGGTAAATTAAACTGTCTAATTGCATCAAAGCCTTTAGTTGTCTCTAAAACAAACGGTAAATTAAACTGTCTAATTGCATCAAAGCGTTTAGTTGTCTCTAAAACAAACGGTAAATTAAACTGTCTAATTGCATCAAAGCATGCTCCATGTTACACTGAGTGCTACATGTTACACTGAGTGTTACATGTTATACTGAGTACTACATGTTACACTGAATGCTACATGTTACACTGAGTGCTGCATGTTACACTGACTGCTGCATGTTACACTGAGTGCTACATGTTACACTGAGTGCTATATGTTACCCTGAGTGCTACATGTTGCACTGAGTGCTACATGTTACACTGCGTGCTACATGTTACACTGAGTGCTACGTGTTACACTGAATGCTACATTTTACACTGAGTGCTACATGCTACACTGAGTGCTACATGTTACACTGAGTACTAAATGTTACACTGAGTGCTACATGTTACACTGAATACTACATTTTACACTGAGTGCTGCATGCTACGCTGAGTGCTACATGTTACACTGACTGCTACATGTTACACTGAGTGCTACATGTTACACCTGTCTCTTATACACATCTAGATGTGTATAAGAGACAGGAATATTCTGCACCGCCATGCACACAACACCAAAACAATATTTTGCACCACCGCACGCAACATCAAAACTATATTTTTCTCCGTCATGCACGAAACATAAAACAATATTCTGCACCGTCATGCAGGCAACATCGAAACAATATCCTGCACCGCAATGAATGCAATATCAAAACAATATTCTGCACCGAAATGCACGCAACATAAAAAAATCTTTCTCCATCATGCACGCAACATCAAATCAATATTCTGCACCGCCATACATGCAACATCAAAGCAATATTCTGCACTACCATGCACGCAACATCAAATCAATATTCTGCACCACCAAACCTGCAACATCAAAACAATATTTTGCACCGCCATGCATGCAACAAAGCAATATTCTGCACTACCATGCACGCAACATCAAATAAATATTCTGTCACCGCCATGCACGCAACATCAAAACAATATTCTGCACCGCCATGCATGCATCATCAAAACAATATTTTGCACCACCATGCATGCGCAACATCAAAACAATATTCTGCACCGCCATGCACGCAACATCAAAACAATATTCTGCACCGCCATGCATCCAACATCAAAACAATATTCTGCCACCGCCATGCACGCAACATCAAAACAATATTCTGCACCGCCATGCATCCAACATCAAAACAATATTCTGCCACCGCCAAGCACGCAACATCAAAACAATATTCTGCACCGCCATGCATCCAACATCAAAACAATATTCTGTCACCGCCATGCAAGCAAATCAAAACAATATTCTGCACCGCCATGCATCCAACATCAAAACAATATTCTGCACCGCCATGCACGCAACATCAAAACATTTTTCATTCTCCGTCACGCTCTTTCATTCCCATGATTTGCTGGTTGTCTGGGCTTTTTTTCCTGTCTCATAACACAAACCTGGTGTTGTTCTCCTATAGTTATATTACGGTAATCCTGACAATCCAATAGATGGCAGAAATCAACTCTAGTATCCCGTCAGCATTCTCTAAACCTACTTAGAAAAAGATTTATTCCAGAATAGGGTTGCAAATAAGTCATTGAAATGAGACTAAGGCTACTAGCGCTACTGCTGATTGTGTCCTCTCTAAATTTTACGCCGCCGTCCCAACAATCTCTTGTACTGCTGATTGTGTCCTCGCTGAACTCCATGCCGCCTTCCTAACAATCTGTTGTACCGCTGATTGTGTCCCCACTAAACTCCTTGCCGCCGTCCTAACAATCTCTTGTACTGCTGATTGATCTCTCACTTAACTCAGGGCCGCCGTCAGAATCAACACGCATGTGGCCGGGACAGAGGCCCAGTGTTGCCTCTCCCTTGACAACAGCGCCATAGTTGATCGCTTTAGCCGTGACCTCGTTGAGTGTCTTGTAAAAACAAAGCCGTCAGAGTTTCCAGATTTCGATCTCAATTCTACAGTGCTTCTTGCGAGGGAGTTCCTAAGGTAGACAATTACTCCACCCTTCTTTCTCCCTTCTTTCCGGTCCGCGCGGTAGTGTTGGAATCCTTCCATTGTAATTTCTACATCGAGGATATCTTTTCTTAGGTGCGACTCCGTTAGTGCAATCATAAAGATCCCACCCTCGTCGACCATCTCACGCAGCACGCCAATCTTGTGACGCGCTCTCACTGGGAAGAGCCCCTCGATGTTGGCCAGCAGAATGCCAGACTCTTCCCTTATTGGTGCGCTTACCTGCGTCTCCACCACTCTGCCTGGCGCCCCTGGCCCAGCAGCTCCTGCATCTGGTGTTGAATCATTTCCAGCTGATGCCTCATTTCTAAAAAAGCGCTGTAGGTAACCTCTGGCCCCCCGCGTGCGTCCCTGTCCCATACGCTTGGGCCACTCCCTGGAGTAGCCAGGTCATCCCTCCTTCTCCAAGAACTACCCTCCTCACCGCTCCTTCTACCAGTGTTTCCCGCAACCCTATCACTGCCCTGTCTTCCCTGTGATGGTGGGGACTGTGAGGGTGAGGGAGTGGGCTGGCGTCCAGCAGGAGCCCTTCGTTGTGGGGGTGAACCACCCCCACAACGACACATGCTATGATGGTTGTCTGCGAAAGCGAGCGATAAACAGACAAGGAAACCTCATTCTAATTTCATGGTTAATCAATATCCAGATACGACATACAAATTAAAAGTGAGTGAAGTATTGGTGTGAAAGGTGTGTGCCTAGAATAAAGCCTTGAAGTATTTTAACAAGGACTTTTGGATTGAAATATAGTGAAGTCTCCTTTTGAGTCAACCGGAGGACTGTCTTTGAAGAAGGCGTGAACAGGAGGAAAGATGGGAACAAAATGAAATAGAAATGAGAGGGGAAGTAAACGGGAGGAATAAAGAGAAAGAAAATTTATCCAGCACAAGCTGCACGCTTCCTGGTCGCAGATCTCCCGCAGTGATGGACAAACATCTCATTGAGCAACTCATTGAAGATCATTGCATTTTGAATTATATACAATTCTAGCAAAATTGCATGGAATTTTATTACACGAGTATCAAATTGAATGTTTGATAGAACCCAGCTATTCGAGTATTGGCTGATTAGCGCCGCTGGCAGACATCGCAGGTCTACATTCCTTGTAACTATAAATAATCTGACAATGTGGAAATTTTCAGGCTCATCCGATCATTTTAAGTTGGCTGTGAAGGAAGTCTAATGAATTATATTCTCGTTTATTTAATTTATTTTTACACAAATAATCACATGCGTTGTTAGTCAGCAGTCCTACCACCCTCAACAATATCTCTGTGCAGTGTCCAGAGATATAAAATAAAATAGACGTTAACAAGTATCTATCCTCTCGGGGAGACAACGTTTTTCAATTGTCCAGACTGAAAATGAGATCTGTTGGGCGCAAAGAGCCAAACTTAGGCGGATGGAACTTGCTTAGGGATGCCAGTGTACATTACACTGTCCATTTCATCTCTTTTGATTTTGAAGAAGCCATTATCACCCCAGTCGGTGTTCCAGGAGTTGGAGCAGAGGTAGTAAGGGATGTCATTTTCCACTCCGTATCCGATAACCTTAACAGCATGCCCACCTAACAGGTCTCCAGAAACATGGTGGTAAACGCCTGATTTGTAGTGCAAAAAGTCTTCGTAGACATCGAATGAAGCTTCCAGAGGCCCGTGTTCAACAAGATCATTGAGAATTTCATCCTCTGAGAACAGCCGATAAACTTTACTGGCGGAGTGTTTGTCATCAGCATACAACGAATTGTATTCCGGGATGCACGACCGGACGCACTGTGGAGTGTTGAAATCGATATCATTACAGTTTGGTCTGGGGCCATCAACGTGGTGTTCGCAGGCAGGCACCACATAAGGTTGGCATCCCGACTTAGATTCGAAATTTCCACCGGAAACGATGCCTTCGTCTAGCCAGAACGTGAAGGCTATTTGTGGCCAACCTCCATCACATCCGTCACCACAGTCAGTGCAGCAAGAAAGGAGATCTTCGGCAGAATAGTGGAACTGCGTCTTGTAGGCAATGCAGTGACGATCGGTCATCGTTTCCACAGCACCAAAAGCCTGTGAAAGGAATGATGAAAGAACTTCATATGCTAAAAGTATCAGTACATTAGCAATCAAAATATAAAAAAAATCATGAGAAAACTTGAAAATAGTGCAACAGTTCATAAAAATATTAGATGAGCTTGAGATGAATGCAGGTTTAGGCAATTTTTCAACATATTTCTGTGTTAATTTCCACCTTGTTGAAGGTCAGTCTCAGTCAAGATCAATGTATGTTACCGAAAGACTTACGACATGATTTGGATTTATATGAATAATATGATCATCGTGGACATAAAATCTCAAAAAATATCTTTGTTTGCGTCAATCTAGATGTAAGATATCAAACAAATGACTGTAGAGTCTTATACGAAAATACTTTGCGGAGGAACTAGTAATAACCTGAATTAAATTTACATCTTGGGCTGCACACCAAAGCTAAAAAAGGTTTACCTCCGAGTCCTGAAGGGGTAAAGTATTGAAATAGAATTTTTGTAGTAAAGTGACCAATGTGAGAGAGAAGAGAGCATAAAAGTTGTATAAAGGAAGTAATGAAGAAAGTCAAGTTACCCAGCACGAGCCGCAGCCTCCCTGGTCGCGGATCTCCCTCAGTGATGGACAGTCCGGCCATTGTAGCCGCGCGTCGAACTCGGCAGGGAGGTCGGAGAAATCTGCGGGTTGGTGAATAGATTTATAAGTTATTCATAAATGTTAACGGAAAATATAATGTGATATCTATCTACATCACGGATGATACACACATCAGCAGGAACTTTATGATGTGATTGAATGAGAGAGCATTTAACACAAGTGTGACGTTTATGGGTGTCAGAACTCAGACCGGAAAGTGTATAAGGGAGTGTAAGGGAAATTCACCCTTTATGATTTGTTACTGAAATTTATTTTTGTGTCGTAAGTTTTACGGCTGCTTATAGGGTTGGCAACCATGCTATTTGATGACGTGGCGTTACCGACCTGAAGCCCGGGTTAATTCGTCTCATTCGATTGCTGTCACTTGGTCGTAGCGTACCTACTGTCACTATTTTCGAGTGCACCTGTAGCGTCTCTATTAGGTGGGTGTTAGTGCATTTGCTCTCTACTTAATGTTCGAGTTTTGAATATAGTGTATGAATTCTTTGAATGTATTTATGTGTTGTGTTAAATGAAATTGTTCCATAGTACAGTATTGTTAGTTATAGTCTTGCTGACCATCATTGTCCGGCAGGACCGACTCTTTGCCCGGCCAGGAAATGCGGCTCCTAGTTAGGCCGACCTCGACGGTACTGCCCAACTCCAGTACCTGCACCCGTCCGGTCTCCACCCAAGTTCACTAGCCCTTGCTGTGTACTATAAGCCCAGTGCTCATCAGACTGTGCACCATCAGTTCAGTGCCCCGTCGTGCAAGTACAGCATCAGTCCAGTGTACTACCATTACCATGTATGACTATTGCTGTGTACCACCACTGCTGAGTACCACCACTGCTGTTTACCACCACTGCTGTGTACCACCACTGCTGTGTACCACCACTGTTGTGTACCACCACTGCTTTGTATTACCATTGCTGTGCCTTACCATTGCTGTGCCTTACCATTGCTGTGTATTACCTTTACTACGAACTACCTATGCTGCGAACTACCTATGCTGCGAACTACATATGCTGCGAACTACCTATGCTGCGAACTACATATGCTGCGAACTACCTATGCTGCGAACTACCTATGCTGCGAACTACCTATGCTGCGAACTACCTAAGCTGCGAACTACCTTTGCTGTGAACTACCTCTGCTGTGAATTACCTCTGCTGTGAACTACCTTTGCTGTGGACTACCTTTGCTGTGGATTACTTTTGCTGTGGACTACCTTTGCTGTGGACTACCTTTGCTGTGGACTACCTTTGCTGTGGACTACCTTTGCTGTGGACTACCTTTGCTGTGGACTATCATTGCTGTGAACTATCATTGTTGTGTACTATCATTGTTGTGCGTTAGTTACTAGGATCCTTTCATTTATTAGTGTTTAATTTACGTGTTTTGTTCAATAAATATTTGTTTATTATGCTTTCATTCCTCCTTTGTTAAGATCGGTGGCAGTTTAGGGTTAATTGTCGAATCTACTTGGAGTCGTCCTTTACTTGAACCTTACAGGGAGCGTGAAATATGTAATATCTTAACCGTCTTTTAGCAACAAAATTAACTATTTTATTAATTAATAATTTCATTCATAAACCGGCAGATGGGTGTCCAAAAATACGTTTGTAAAGTTTTCAATGCCTCGCCCTACTAGAATATTTCTGTTTGTTTACCGCTTGACTAGCAATGATAATTTGCCAAAAAATTGTTGTATCAAATATTGGTTAGGGATATTATTATTGGTTAAGATAAACACATATTATTGTACCGCACTGCTCTTTTCACTTGAATCCGTTACTAAAAAAAATGTTAAGGCGAAATTTGTAATTTTGGTAGTCACACATAGTTGAAAAATGTTTTAGGGGCACCGCCGCCTCAAGTTTTACATACATTTCAAGTTTCGAATCATTGCCTAATTTAGACTTGCAACAGATAGGACCTGGAGCTGGAGATTTCTCGCCACACAATCGGGGACATCCTTATCACCCCCTGTGAGGCTGTGAGGGTCCCTAGTTCCAGTAGTTTTCCCTAATTTGGGGTGGGGTTTTAGCAAAGTTAGTTTGAAACATATACCAACCCATATGGAAAATTTAATAAAATTTTATGAAGGACAAGGGGACCACTGGTAGACAAGACAGGGAATGATCCAAATAATAAAACTAACGATTTCAAGGCACTCCTAAGCATTACCTGATAGGCCAATTTTTCTGTTATATGATCATACTTGCCAAAAAGTAACTTTCTGGAAGACTAAACTTCCCTTTTCTTGACACCCTAGCCATTAGTCGTACTAATGCAGCAATTCAAGAAGCGATATGGTAGGGTCACTTTATCGATTCTACAACACCTACTGTATTTGGTAATAGATATAGAGATAATATCCGTGGCGCAAGCATTCATTAAACGTCATAAGCGTCAACCAGACCTTGTCGAAACTCCTTGAACGCATTGCGGTCCGACATCTCAGTTTTCATCTTCAGCAGTCCGGTCTCATGCCTCGCCTCCAGTCTTCATATCGTCATTTCCACTCGGCTGTCAGATATTCTGCCAGCAGTAGACCGCGGCGACATTGCGGCACTGGCTTAACTCGACCTGTCGGCCGCATTTAAGACGGTCGACCACGCCATTTTATTGCGTCGACTTGACGGATCATACGTCCTGCCCGGCATGGTGTTGCGGTGGTTCAAGTCCTATCAAAACACTAGATTCCAATGCTTTCGACACAGGAACTCTCCTTCTACCCCACCGTTGCGCTGTAACACAGGGATCACTCATTGGCCCGATGCTCTACCTGTTATGTACTGTTGACGTTTTGCATATCATTGATTCACATAGTTTTAATCCGCCTATGCTCGCCGACGACACCCGAATTTATCGCTACGGTGCGCCGACATACGCTGCAGCGTTGCAGGACCGGAAGTCTGTCTGCATGGACGCCTTCTCAGACTGGATGCGCTTCAACCGGCTCCAGATCAATGCATCAAAAACCAATGACTTCATTTGTTTTGCCACTGCTCGGCGTCAGCATCAGCTTCCGGCCAACCCTTTTCTCGTAGGCAACGAGTTCGTCATGCCTGCGTCTTTGTTTGCAACCTCGGCATTCAGCTGGACACGGAACTTTCTACGGAGAATCACATTGCCTAAGTCACCACCGCTTGTTTTGGCGCTCTGCAACGAATACACAGCGTCAGCCGCTGTCTTTCAAGGCCGGTCCTCGAGGCCCCGTGGTGGCGCTCATTCTGATCAGATTGGAGTATGGTTATGCCACACTCCATGGTATTACTCCATGGCATTGCACGCAGTTCAGGGTCGTTTTCTGACGTTCCGATGCTTTCGCGGTCTGGCACTTCTCTATCTCACGGAATGTCTGCAGCGCGTGTCGGATCTGCCGACTGCGTTTGTCATCAAAAGCGGACCTCGTCGTACCAGCTACACTTATATCGGAGACCGAGCGTTCCCTGTCGATGCCGTAACAGCGGATGGATAGCTAGAGGTCAGCATAGCCCAAGTCCACAGTGCGATTCATATACCTTCCCGAGCGTAACGCAGCCGGGCATCTTCAAGGCTTTCGACACAGAGCGCCCACCACAACAGCGCCGTTCAGTCACAGGCCGGAGCGCATACAGGTCGGAGCACAACTGGCCGGGGCGCAACAGGCCCTACCTACAACGCCTTACCCCGGCCCTACTCCTAACCTAACCTAACCTAACCTGCGCTTGTTGCGGTATGGGGCCTGTTGCGCTCCAGACAGTTGTGCTCCGGCGCTGCGAAGCAGTGGCTGTGTTTTTTTAAAGTTGGTGTGGTGATATGAGTCACTTACACACAGCGCATTGATCTGAGGCTATGTGTAGATATTGCATGCTGATGGTTGGCGTTGGGCCCAGGGCCTGTTTACGAGTCAATTTTGTTACCCACGGCTGCGCTCCCGTCACAGCATGGAACAACTTGTCGGCTCCCGTATCATCGGCTCCTTCGTTGCCGGTGTTTCGTCGACGCCTATAGACGGAACTATTTCGCAGAGCCTATGAATCAAGTGCTTTGTCATTTTTATCCGTTTCATCCTTTCTCGTTTCTTTTTATTTTCCGCTAATGGAACTATTTCGCAGAGCCTACGAATCAAGTGCTTTGTCATTTTTATCCGTTTCATCCTTTCTCGTTTCTTTTTATTTTCCGCTTATGGAACTATTTCGCAGAGCCTACGAATCAAGTGCTTTGTCATTTTTATCCGTTTCCATCCTTTCTCGTTTCTTTTTTATACTCCGCTTGCTATTAAACTTATGTGTAATGTGCCCTCGAAGTTCGTTTGAACCAGACGCCGCGATAATTGATTCGTAGGATATTAATAATAATTAGGCCAAATGTGCCTGCTGACGATTCTTGACATCGCAGGATTCTTGCAGCTGGTTGGGCTTTGACCCCGAGATTCACTGCTCCAATCTATGTATATTCAACGACCCGGTCACCTTGCCGATTTTGACCAGAACTATCACAGGAAGCTGATATCAAACTCAACTTTCTGCTGCTATCCCAATTCTCCGAACTTTGAGCAATCGGCCAACCTGACGAGCATTACACTGTTTTTTATCATATCATCATAAATTCATTTTTCATTGATGTTTCGATTAGGCCTCAAACAATAATTCAGCTTCGGGCCGCATCAAAGATACTCACTACCGCTGGAGACTTTCAATGGGAGTTGGAGGGCAGAGGAGCCTTGAAATTGACTTTCCTCCTTGACCCCCATCATCTTCCTGAGCACGCGCATGGACGTCGAGGTGGGGAAGTTGCGACCAGCCTGTGAGGCGAGGTTGTTATCAAGTAACTTGGATTGCAAATGACAATGCATCGATATGTGCTATTGTAATGAAGTAGGGATTAATATGAGATTGCTTGGATTTGAAAATTTTGCGATTACGTAATAATTCGACTTATTACATAGGAGCGCTATACAACCAATTGTCAATCCTTTGAATTATTATAACAAGCTTAGAACTTGCCATCGCATCATAGTTTTTCTCTCTTCCAGAATAGATGTATACAAGTCCAAATATTGGATGCAAGTTATTTATGTTGCATGCATTATATGATGTTCTTACCTCCCAATGATCGGTCTTTTCGTTGATACGTTGAATGAATTCATCTGATAACGCATACGGTATTTTTCGGGTTTCGGTTATGAACGATGCTGGTTGCGAGGAATTTTGAGGTTGGGAGGAATTGAAGAAGTTGTTGATGAAAACCATAATTTGGGGATAGTTGATATTAACTGACGAGGCCATTACGAGGATCATTAATACCCAAAAAATTATGCAACTCCATAAAAGCAGTTCGTAAAAGTAGTTCTCCGTGAGGCTTTGAAAGCTGAAACATAAATAGTTCTGGAAATTATTTAGAAAATAAAATCGAATTCTTTTTTTCCTGTCATAACAATCTAATTATTTCGGATGAAATGCATTATACAATTTTCAATTAATTATTCGTAATTCTAATAACTTCAATTCGACGAAAACTTCATAACGAAGTGGAAATCATTGGTAACTATGAAAACATAAATCATAGATTGACCCAAGTTCCATTAAAATCTCTATTTATTAGATGAAACCATGTCATTAAAGGGAAATGAAATTGAATTTCAAATTGAAGCGAAATTTGAGACGAGACGTTAAGTACAAGAAATTAACATCGTCGTTGTGTATAGCATCGTTGTCACTGAACAATTGAACAGAAATACATAAGATAGTTCGACAAAATTATATTCGAGTTTGAATTCTGAATAAGCTCACAGCCATGCCATGGTGGAGCGTTCTTCGACGGTCGCGGCGGGAACGGTGATGACAATTTTCGCCTCGCCAGCGCGGGGCTTCTGGTCGCCCGAAGTCTCGATCTTGGTCATGGTGGCTACCTACTCTGTCTGTTGGAATAAAAACCTTATTGGAATCAATTCCCATTTCATTTCATTTCTCATTTCATTTCCCAATTCCCATTTCATTTCAATTCCCATCAATTCTAATTCAAAGTCACTAAGAGCCTAAGTGGCCAAACCGTTTCAAAGCCACAAGCAAGTCAGGGTCGCAAGACTGAAAATAATTTATTTCTCAGAATATAGTTTAGGTAATAAGAAAAGTTGAGGAATTCAATCAAACGAGTAGGATGATCATATTTGCTGGCGGCATGCTTTCTCTCATTTAAAATAAAAGAAATCAAAGTAATTCCAGTCAAGCCGCAGATAGCACATAACCTAAGGAAACCTTTCAGCCAAATGTAACATTTTTTTAGAACATTTTATCTGATAAACGTAGAAATATACGTAATATACGAACAATTTTTTATCAACCTTGTTCCCCAAGCAAAAGGATTCAGATAACTTACGAAAAACATGATTAACATATAGATTCGATTTTACTGAATATGCCACATTTTATATTCTTCTGAAACTAGGTAAAAAAAACGTCAATTCGTGACGATTTGTAAAATATGACTCTTTAAATTTTTGCGTATGGGAACATTTTCCTGGATATAATAGAATTTTTATTGGTTTTCGAAAACGAAACAAAAGATCTCGAGGATCATGTGAAGCAGATTAAATTCTAATTATCTTTGACCTCGGTACGTGATGAAAAAACAGACTCACGAATAATCATACTGAATTTGAAACACCTCAGAAAACAATTTGCCCTTTCATTACGCTTAGACATAAAATCTAGATCATACGTTCTAGTTTCAAAAACTTGGTCACGAATTATTGATAATGTTGCACAATAAATGAATAGAATGAGTGAACGCTCTCAGTTACCCATGATTTAAAACATGAATTGTCGCGACAAAGAGCCACATCGATAAGCCTAGAAGTGAGAGGCTTTATCAGTTTCATGAATTTCTAATTAAAGCGTTTACCCAAATCCGGGTAAATATTGAAATTTACTTCAAATGCTCAAGAGAAAAGAATGCATGTATAAGTGCTTCCTTACTGTTTACTATGAGAGACCATAAGAAGAACTACTTTTTGGTTTTGGTATTTATTTATAGAATTTCTTAGATTCCCAAACATATAAGTTAGCTAGAATGTAATTTCAAGTAACGCAAACTTTCAGTTTTTATTTATTTGTGGAAATTTTCACTAAATTAAAAGGAACGTAAACATAATTGTTGGGCATAATAGATACAACAGAAATTGATAAAATCCTTGCAAAATTTTTTCCTTCGAGTAATTTTGAGACAGCATAAATTTAAGGCCACGCAAAAGAAGATAAATTAAATGATTACTGCAATATTTGCATACCAAAACGAGGATTGTGTTAAATATACATCATTTTAAACAATCAACGAAAGTAAAGCCAACTCCACGATGATTATCAATATTGAGTTGAATTTACTAAATATTTCAGAGTTAATTTAAACTTGGTGAAACAGTTACGCTTGACCAAAACTGAGATCAACGCTACGTATGGAAATCCTACCAAATGCAAACTCAGAAGGTACACAGAGGCAGCCACGTAAGGAATACAACAGTGGATAGCGAAAAAATGTAGTGACATTTAAAATGATTAAAAAATGTAGTGACATTTAAAAAACAGTGTAGCGAAAAGCCAAGAACCCCACACCCTCGCCTTATTACTCACCTGGCAGCACTGATTAGTCACTTCCGACCCTCTGCCTTATATGAAGGGGAGGAAGATAGCGGTTCTCCCCCAGTTAATCTTGCCAGTTGTCAGCCAAACCCGGATTTTACCGTACACTTATCACAGGCCTATGAATTATCGTAAGCTGTGTAGACCACTGATACGTCGTCCACTTGTGGACGTATCACATGAACTCCTTATATTTATTGTATTAAGAATAGATTATGCATCACTATACTAACGTACAAATTTCTGAGAATTCGCGCGAACGAAATAACGAAAATATGATCTATTATATCTAATTTTACATAAAAAATAATCAACAGGACTGTACGGTCTGTCTTTGTGTGTGTTTATTTCTAGTATTCGTAAAGGCCGGAGACGAATTAAAGATCGTAATCTCATTTCGTCTTATGATGCATGACGGTAAAACTGAAATTTGGTTTACCTCGCACTTGCGAAGGCAGTAAAAAAATCATAAGTTTTCTTAATAACATTCTTGACTGAGCAGTAACACAAAGAGAAGTGGAATGGCAGCTGCGGAATAAAACTACAGGTGGGCGACCTAATTTGTGTTGTTGAGCTGGCTTATAATGGGACAGATAACAATGATGACATCGCTTCGTTTCGTAATTGGTAAATCCAAAGGCACAGAAATTTCGTGACAGAAGTTATCTTGATATACGAACATGTCAAACGAAAAATGAGCATACTAATTTCAAAATTAAACCTATGCGACCAAAAGTTAATATTAAGAGTTCTCCTATAAAAATCCTGAAAATCTATAATAGGGATATTTGTGGGCTATAATTTAGGAGGATCTGTGACGAATTAATATTCTAGCGATCCGATCAAAATGAAGTATCAATTATTTCTAAGCTGTGAGAAAAGGATTACGTGATTTAAGAAAGATACGTAAATTAAGTGAAGAAAGCACAGCTTGACTTTATCAGTGAGAAGCCACACTAGTGAACTCTAACTTACTTAAATGGTACCATTGTAATGAAGAAATTCGTTATTGGCGTCTTCGATCTTTAGCCCTAACAAAATTTAGAGTCGCCCCAGCTTCTGATTTGGGGTACCAGAATTAAGCTGGGGCGACTCTAAATTTTGTTAGGGAGCCGACTTCATCAGTGATTGGTCTTATTCTTCTCTTTTTTACATCATTGTCATTTACAAGTTAATTTTAAGTAACATTTCGAACAACCAGTATATCTAAAACTATAATAACAAATGTGGTGAACTTACCATCTAGCAGATATTTTAATCATTTGTTCATATATTTAAACACGAAAATTAGATGTGTGTAAAGATTTTTCTGGAATCCATTGCCAATGACTTAATAAATTCAGTTCTTAACGACATTCCAACTGAATCGTACGATAACGTTGGGTAAATATGTCTTATTCAAAAATTTTCGCGGAAATGTATTGTAGTCGGCCCTTTTTTAGCATCCCACCTCAAAAAAACAACGAATTTCGTACTTTATTTCTTATTATTTGGTCTGTGAGTCGAATTTTCTGGGCGAAAGTTTGCGCAGATCGGACTGCTCCTAACAGCGCTTCTGATTGCTCGGCCTACTTCTGTGGTGAAGGCCAGAACTTTTCTTCCTCAGCCTGACTTGACCACGTTTACTTGCTTCTCTATAGGTCTCTGTTGAGAGTTTTTACTTACCGCTATACAATATTACCTCGAATTACGAATTATCAAAGCCACAGAATAGAATGAAATGTGGCGAACAAGTAAGGGAGAAGCACACGTAAAAATTGTACTCGATCAAACGATAAATGACTGAAAAGTTTTTTTTCCGGATTGAAGCGACAGTATTGCCATGTGACCAATGCTGGTGACAATGTACAGGCAAATACGGAAGAAGTATTTTCTAAAATAATTGTTTGAGGCTCCTTCTATCTTGTTTTTAGATAACACTGAAGACTCGACGCTATCGAAGACACTACTCTGTAAACAACCAATAACGAAGGTTAAAACGTCAAGTTTTCACCCACTGGACACTGTTATCGAACATGGAGAAACGCAGATAAGGCAAACCCAGTAGTTCATTGGTTTTTAGAGAACAGAAAGGAATAATTTCCGTTACGAAACATCAATTCGCATTTGTGCGTACCTCGATTATCTTTGCACAGTCAAATCGTTCTAAATAACAATGGAAATAACTTAGTTCATTAGTTTAGATAATAATTATTGTTAATTGAATGCATATTTTGATATTGAATACAATAAGAGCTATTTTTAAATGATAGAAATTACTGACGCGGAAACTTCTCTGCGCTGTTTGTTTGCTATCGCTGTCTAAAGCTTCCTTCATTCCCGCAGATTCATTATTCACTGGAATCTAAAAATGAGAAGCAATCAAAGCAACTTCGACCCAATAATTTCGCCATTTTTGTGAGCTGCGATGTTTGCTTAATTCACTTGGTCAGGTTTGCCGACTCAAATTATGGATGACATAAACTATCGCACTATTGATTATTTTTCTTTCAGAGTTTAATAATACAACTGGAAACGAAGTGTTCGGGACAGAAATCTTCAATGTGTGGAAATTTACACAGGGTAAATTACCATGTGTATTATGGTAATAATATGTGATTCAATATGTGGTGATAATTACGCATGGTAATTTGCTCCCCCTCGAACTAGGGACGAGTTCGTGTATGCAAATAAACATGACGTTCAAATCTAAAATTATGACATCAAAGTTCGAGCAGGCCATGTTTTTGAGTACTTGTGTCTATGAACGCCTGAATTCGAAAGAATAAATTACTGTAAACAAGTGAATTTACGAGAAAACGCGATGAAAGTCTTTAATTGACATTCGAGAAGCAGAAAAGCGCGCTGAATATTAAAAGTGCTCAGAGAAGTGCAAATATGCTTAATGGTGAGCGGGATCCACGAGGACTTAATCACGCATTGAATATTCAATATTTTATAACAAATCATCCATTGAGAATTAAACTGTGAAGAGTGATTTTTTACACTTTATTATGATAATGACGATGAACATGTGTGAATAAAAAAACTGCTGAAATATATGACGCAAGGTTGCAGCATTAAATCTTAATAAGAAAGAGTTCTTTGTGTTCAGAAATTTTGCCGCATCATTTTACTTGCGCTTTGCGTAAACGCATTCTAAAGACGAAGAAATATAGTGAATGCTTCCAGTGCCACGAGAGTGATGGTCTCGTTGCACCAAGCAGCCAGATGTAGGAAAAGAGCGAGGAGTATTTCATATGAAATGTAAGCATGACGTTTTGTGTCCCGCCTAGTCAGATGCCATTATGCATTGGACAAGTGAGCAGCGTGCGTTTGCCATCAAGGCGTACTTTTCTAATGGCCGTTCCATTATCGCTACTCAACGAGCATTCCGTACTTAGTTCCGTATTCGTCCTTCAAGTCGGGTTTCTGATCGGAAATGGATTTTTGCGCAAGTGAACACATTAAGGGCAAGTAGAGTTAATTTTTATGGGGTTATCTTAAATCAATTGTTTACAATGACTGTCCAAGGACCCTACCTCATTTGAAGAACAACATACACCAAGCCATCGCCAACATACCCGTCAACATGTTTCAGCAAGTTGAACGGAACTACAAAAATCGACTAACATAATGCATTGATTACGGGGGCCATCATTTGTCCGATGTCATCTCTAAAACTAAAAGATACCAAAATTCAGATAACGGCTTTTTCAATTAAATTTATAATGTAATGATTTCTTTACAAGTTCTTTTTTCATTGAGCGTTCAAATCAGGTAGATTTCGTGAATCACCCTAGGCTGTAGTTTCTTGGTCCACCGGACTGAAGATACCATGGTGAAGCAGCGGCTGAGCGAGGTAGTTGCCAAACTAATGTACTTAATGCTCGGAAGAAGTCTTCAACCTTCCCAATTAAAAAAATATAAACTACATTGGTTTCTTGCAGGAGTCTCAAATTCTTGCAGGAATAATCTTTAATGTCGAAGTTTTTTATTTTCTTAATTTCGGAGTAAATGAACAGGGCCAACAGGTAATCGTGCAAAAACACAACAGGAAAGGACGAAATAAAACGTCCAATAAAATCTGGATTCCCACAAGAAATCCATATCAATTTCGCTTTTCGTTCTCTTTACTTTATAATGAGTTTACGCAATGCGCAATTAAAATCTTTTATCACAATACAAACTTTTCCTGAAAGTTTTGATGCTTGGGCCACTCGTTGACCATTTCAGCAATGTTTATTCACACATATCCAACATCATTATTACTTTATTAGTATAATTAAGTGTAACAAAATAGTTATTCTTTGCTAAATTTTCGCTGCCTAGTAGGTTTTTTCAAAATACTCAATCCCTTATTTAATTCTCTTGTAAAATGTTCAGCACTGAGCATATTTTGAGTTTTTGCAACAGTTGAAATAACCGTAATTTAATAATCGTAAAAAATAATAATCGTAAATTTAATTCTTAACAGTTATTTATTCTCTCCATTTGTAAAATTATCGTCCCAACGGAGGGAACAAAGTGCCGTGCTCACTTTCAGCAACCTACAATGATTTTCCTGACGCAAACACTTACTCAACAGCCGGACCTATCCGGTTGTATCATCAGGCTGCGAAGAACACTAAATAGTGCGATTGTTTGTATCGTCCATAAATTGGGTTGGTAAACCCAAACAAAGTGAATCAAGCAGACATCGCAGCTCATAAAGACGGCAAAATTATTGGATGAAAGTTGCTTTGATGATTTTATATTTTTAGGTTCTTTTGAATAACGAAGGAATGGACAAGGAAAAAGACAGCTACAGCTTCGCAGAACCGTTCAAGCTATCGGTTTTAATTTTTATCACACAAATAGTTTTGAACTTGAATTTGACAATTATAGTACAGATAGACTTGCGACAAGCAAGCAACAAAAAATACTACAGGGTGCGCCCTAGAAACTTACTTATTTGAAAAGTCAATAAAAACAAAAGTACTTCAGTTATTGTTTTACATTTTTTTTATTCGAGAAAACAGTATCCCAAATTTTTTTCATACAGTTTTGAAAATTAAATCTCATTAATGACGGCCTCCATTGCGCATAAACCAATGAAGTCGCTTTTTTCATAATGGTTTCCACTCTATGAAGCATATCAATCGGTATTTTGGCAATGACGTCGCGAATGTTGTTCTTCAGGTGTGCTGTGGTCCGTGGTCGATCGACATAAACCAGAAATTTCAAATATCCCCATAAAAAGAAACCGCATGGAGTCAAATCTTGAGAGCGTGGCGGCCATTGGAGATCGCCTCTGAGAGAGATGAGGCGGTCTTGGAAATGTTGTCGCAACAAATTCATCGAGTCTCGTGCTGTGTGTGCTGTGGCTCCATCTTGCTGAAACCACACGTTCCTAAAGTTCATTTCTTAGAGTCTTGGAAGAAAAAGTTCCTCGATCATGTTCCTGTAACGAGCTCCATTAACGGTAACTGCGCGTTCGTTTTCTTAAAAAAATAAGGACCAATTATTCCCATTACCGTCGTCGCACACCAGACAGTAACTCGCTCACAGTTAAGTGGCTTCTGGTGAAACTCACGTGGATTTACACCACACCAATAACGCATGTTTAGCTTGTTAACGCAGCCGGAAATGTGGAAGTGAGCAAAATTTATTTGAGAAACTTTGAGAAACAAACTTGGGAACTTTCCCCTTCAGATGCACCCCCTCTCGCCCCTCTACCCGACCAACTAACAGCACAGGAATTTTTTCAAATAAGTAAGTTTCTGTGGCACACCCTGTATTATCAGTGACAAATCAACGTCCCACTTTAATTGAAATAGTAAATCCCAAACATTACAGGAATGTATTGAATATTTATTCAAAACACTCAATTCCCGCTATAGTAGGTTCCAAAAAAATGTCACTTGAATTGAGGTCACAATATTCGTCGAGAAAATTCACCGCTAGATTAATTTGCAGTTTTTGCAGTATGTTTGCTGCGTGACCTCGGGCATTAACTAAGCGGAATCGATGTAAAAATTATATTTTATTAGTGGACTAACGAAGCTTAATGCAAGCAAAGGAAACACATTAAGATGCTCAAAAATATTGTTATTAATTTTATTTCACACTACATGATCCAAATGGTCTCGTCCCAAACTTGCGCTGCAGAAGCGAACGCTTGTCATCCGCATAACCGAATATTTATTGGATTCAATAATATTGTGGGAAACTTAATGTGGAGTACATATTCTAAACTTCCCATCTGAACTCGTTAGAGCAGATCTGGGTGATTTACGAACTTTACATTTCAATTCTTAATAAAAGTTCAAACGTTAGGCTCGTGTAAGACATTGTGAATGTGATTCGTATTTTTAAATATTTTTCTAAGAACATTATCTTATACTTTACAGGTCTCAGTTCAATACTTCTACAATGAAGAAAGTCCTGCCTTTCAGCAAAATCATGTTTATGCAGAAGTTTTTCAATCAGACGTCAAACCGACCATTCTGCCCGCATACGCCAACATCGCTCGCATGACCGTATAGCATAACGGTTAATGGAATTTATTTCAAGTGATTTTGAAAAAAATTGGTTCTCCTAAGAATACTCTATACAATAGAGTAAAAAAAACTATGCGGCGGGAACTGGCTACGGGAGACCAGAGTACATGTTGCCGATAATTTCATTTCGGCTGATCTTGAAGAAACCATTGTCACCCCAGTCGGAGTTCCAAGAGTTGGCGCAGAGGTAGTAAGGGATGTCATTTTCCACTCCATAACCGATAAGCTTCACAGCATGACTTCCTAAACAATCTCCATGCACGTGATAGTAAACGCCTGACTTGTAGCTCAAAAAGTCTTCGTAAACATCGAACGTTGCTACCAGAGGTCCGTGTTCTACAAGATCTTTGAGAGCTTGATCTTCGGATTCCACATAATATACCTGACTAGCGAAGTGTTTGTCGTTTGCATACGAGGAATTGTATTCCGGGATGCACGAATGGGAGCACTCTGGAGTGTAGGCATCTTCACAATTCGGTCGGGGGTCATCAATGTAGTGTTCGCAAGAAGGGACCTCATAAGGCATGCATCCCGACTTTGAATCAAAATTTCCTCCTGAAACGATGCCCTCATCTCGCCAAAAGCTGAAAGCTTCCGATGGAAAACCTCCACTACATCCTGCACCGCAATTAAGACAGCAAGAAAGCACATCTTCGGCGGAATAATGGAATTGAGTCTTATGGACAATGCAGTGACGATCGGTCATAGCTTCCACGGCACCAAAGGCCTGTAAAAAATTTTGAAAATTACCAACGATGAAGAAGATATAAAACATAATTTTGGAGTAAAATGCGAAATAAGACAAAGTTCTGATTGAAAAATTCCCAATAATGACATTTGTGCGCGTTACCATGCACTTCATGAGGATCCAACTATATGTATATTCTGAAAATCAATTTAGGTAGGTATAGGGTTCAGTTTAAGGACCTCATATTGGTTTGTCTAAAATACAAGAAGATTAAAGTATTTGTGAGGCTTAGTAAATCCATCTAGATAAGACGTATGAAGAAGCAAATGTATGTGAGCTGTTCAGTGAAAATTAACTTAGAAAATCCATTAGATTATAGTCTTGATAATGTTTCCAACATGGACAATAGACAACAGCTCAGCAAAGTTTACTTGGGAGACGACCAAGATCATTGTCTTCAAAACAAAACTGTGGTCATAATATGAACAAGAAAATATGGAGTATACGAGGGTAAAGGAAAACCAAGTTACCCAGCACGAGCCGCAGCCTCCCTGGTCGCGGATCTCCCTCAGTGATGGACAGTCCGGCCATTGTAGCCGCGCGTCGAACTCGGCAGGGAGGCCGGAGATATCTGCGGGTCGGTGAATAGATTATTTTAGACGTATCTAAGATTGAAGCTTGAGCAAATTTTCAATTACCGGGTAAAAACAATGCAATTAAGTACTTATGGTACCCTGTCTGCGCATCGCGCATAAAAGGGAACTTGATGACGTGTTCGAAATTAGCGACCATCCCTAACAAATTTCGGGGACCGCTTAGGCTTCGGGCGAATAGTCACTACTCTCAGCGTAAATTTATTCTGGGTCTGCTTGGCCATCCGATCGAAATCCGTTACTCGTTTGAATCTCCTGCTATAGTCGCTTGAGAGTATGACGAGGGTTGACCGAGACTAGCCATACTGAACTAGCAAGCTGCCCAGAAACTGTCCTTCGAACCCTAAGCCAAAGCGAACATCGAGAAGCTGATTTACGTGCTCCCCGAGTCCTAGGCGGCCCTAATGCAGGGTCGCTCACGCCTTTAAGTTATGTTAGGGATGTAACAAGATGTTCAGGCATTATCTGGGTTTAAAGTTCATGTCCTTGAATGTTTCAGAAAGAAAAAAAAATATTTTCCAATGGTTATCTAAGAACTTTCTGATGCTTCTTGAGGGAAAGATATGAATTATGTTGTATATTAATACTAGTTTGTCATTATTGCATTACACAAATATATTGTGGAGTAATTTGTGAATTAGTATACCGATTATCAGAGTAATGTATGAATTGAAAAAAAGGGATGCGTGTATTACTTTATAAATTTCGCTACACGTATTGCTTTGGATACATGTATTAATGGTTTCTCGACTATTAAATGACACTGTCTACTACAATATAAACGAAAACTGATTTTCCATCGTTGTTAAAAAGTGGCCTCGCACAATAATTCAGCATCGGGCCGCATCAAAAATACTCACTACCGCTGTAGACTTTCAATGGGAGTTTGTGTGCAGAAGAAGAGCCTTGAAATTGGGGCTCCTCCTTGACCCCCATCATCCTCCTGAGCACGCGCATGGACGTCGAGGTGGGGAAGTTGCGACCAGCCTGTGAGTGTGGGGTTGGGCTAGTATGAGTTACACTTTGATTTATTACAGCTATAAATGTGCGATTATAAAACAGATATTTCCCATAATTGACATCGTCGATGAGAAACCAATTTATAAATCAGCCTGTAAATAAGTAATACCATGAACTTTGTCGATCGGAGGATTTTAGATGGAGGTTGTTCGGAAAATGTCACTGTTCGGCATTGTTTTGAAACACATTATAACATTTTCGCTGCTAGATTGGGTTGTCATCACATCTTAGAAGATCGTCCTCCAGATTAGCACTTAAATTTACCAGATGAAGTGTTTGTGAGTCGTAAACAATAGAAATGTGAAAAACATATCGAATTCACCTCCCAATGATCAGCCTTGTCATTGACTTGTTGAATGAATTCGTCGGATAGCGCATGAGGGTTTCTTCGGATCTCAGACAGAATTGAGATTTGTTGCGTGGAATTTGGAGGTTGAGAGACATCGAAGTAGTTCTTCACGTAGACCATGATTTTGGTATAGTGAACGTCACTCGAGCCAGTTAATATGAAGAGCACTGACAACGTACAAAATAGTACACTCAGGGCGGCCAAGAGAGCAATGTAGTTCTTCAGAGAGCTCCTGGACCTGGAGCATAGCATTTCCGTCAATAATTATTCTTCAACCAATTTAGAAAAGATTTGGCAATTTTTCAATAAATTCTCTTGAAACTTTCGAATTGCCAATCAGAAGAATAAAACACACTAATTATGTGTCACTGAAAGCACTAAAATAATTTAAAATAATTTCACACATGCATTCGATTGTATTCGAAAATTCAATATCCGGGTGAACATATAAAAACCTAATCGAAGTTTTAAATAGACAACAAAATATCATTTGCAATGAATGAATAATTGAATATAGCCAATAAAAACCTCTACAGAGTATACGTAGATAACAATTGGAACAATTCAGAAGGACATTCCTCTTTGATGCGAATGGCAGATGAATTAATATTTGAACATGACTTCTGAATGAGCTTACAGCATCGCCATGTTGGCGCGTTCATCGGCTGTCTCGGCAGGGCTGACTATGACAATTTTCGCCTCGTCGGCGCGGTGCTTCTGGTCCCCCGAAGTCTTGATCTTGGTCATGGTGGCCACGTACTCTGATCTCTTGAAAGGGAAACATTATAGGCTTTCATCTCCGTTCAATTTAGCTATTTATTTAATGTCACTATAGGAGCATAAATGCTCAAACACTTTCAAAAGTGAAAGAAATTTCTCAGTTTCGCTAGAAAGAAATTATATTACTCTCAAAAGATTGTCCGGATAACGTGATGAGATGTTCAAACGGTTTAAAGGAGCCTTGACTCGTTAAAATCAGGAATACAGGGTAACCACTCGAGGTTATATTTAAAGTCATCGCAAATCGACGCAAAGAATTTGGCGTCGTTAATGTAATACATTCTGCTTTTTGATGTATGGAAGGGCAAATCAAAAAATAAACTTGTTGAATTGGCCCGACCCTTGGCATTCAACTTCAAGTAAGATATCAAGGTTAAATTTCTTCAAACGAGCTTCAAAGTGTTCTTTAAACGAGGGAAACCAGCTTGCGCTACCCTTGAATCCATGTCACTGAATCGCATCAAAGTTTGCACATGAGAAGCAGCCACGGAAATGATACAGAAGTGCAGCAGAAAACCAAGAACCGCTCACCTTCACCTATAGACTCGCTGGAAGAACTGATCGGTCCTTCCTCACAAACTTATTTCTTTGGAGAGTTAGCAGTTATGCCGTGAGGGATCTAACAAATTACCGATCTAGCCCGGACTTCATTATCTGCCAATCAAAAGCCTGCTAATCATCGATGGTCAAATATGAACTTTGATATGTCCATAAGTGAGGCCCCAAATGCTAAAAGACCGCTGAGGCGTTCTCAACCAATGATGAGTTAATTTACAAATAACATGCGTTTAAAAATAACTTTTTAAAAACAACACTTCTAAAGAGGCCAGTGTCTCCGATGTTACACATGTACAATGAATTTCTAATTTTATTTGTTATTACTTACAAAATTATTGTTCTAATTTTTTAATATTAAAAAAGTAAAAAAAATCATTATTTATTCTATCAATTGATTCAAGCATTGTTTCCGACTTTGCGCAAGTATGCAATATTTCAGGTCGATTGGACAGATAGAAGTGTGTTAAATATCGCTTATAAGATTTGTGGCACACAAACTAACAAACAAACAAAGTGAAATTAAAGAGAAGTGTACGCTGGAAATTTGCAATGATGTCAGTTTACAAATCGCCAGATTGATCGGAAAATTAAAATTATTTTCAGTGTAGTTTAGATATTAATATTCGTATTGCATCTACAATACCCAATGTTTTTACTTATGTCATTTCAATTTTAAGCGTTGCAAAACCTTAATTCTACCTGATACTGAATAATTATTCAGACGTCACTCAAATAAAATAAAATGTCTATTGCAAATCTGTCCCATCTCACAACGGCCTAATCCAACTAAAAGTAAGATTCACAAAATCGGAGAAGCAATGAGAAAATCTGTTCAAAGAGCTGTCATTTTCATTAGACGATTCTCTACATTTCTTCGATATAGTAGGCACCTTCACTGAAAAAAGTTCCCAGAGTGGCATCTATTGACATATCAAAGGTCATATTTGTCCATCGATAATTGGTAGGCCTATGATAAGAAAATGATGGAGTCCGAGATATATAGATCGGTAACTTGTCAGATCCCTTACGGCAGAACCGCTAACTTCCTCTTAAAAAAATACGTTTGTCGTGAGTGACCGGTCTGTTTTTCCGGCAAGTCGTACGGCAAAGTTGTTAGGTTTTTGGCTCACTTGACTTTAGTATGCGAACTCTTCTAATACGAATCAATTTCGTTGAGTTTACTTCAGTTTGACTTAATTTCTAATTGGTTTCCCTAGTTTAAAGCCAACTTATAACTAGTTGCTGTTGTAGTAAAATTCGGGGTCCCCCCGGTTTTACCCCGCGCTCTCAGTACGCGTATTGATACTTGTATCCGAACAACTTTATACTCACTAACCGGGAAAATCCAGAGCGAGGTAAAATTTTTACTTTTTCAATCATAACTCGGCAACGGCTGCTCCGATTCAGTTCAAACTTT